AACCCTTGGAGCCATTACCTTCAAAACTTACATGTGTTTTTCTAGTCTGTTTGTGCTGCATTGTTCAGTCAAGTTCAGCAATCTATCACAATGGTACAGCAGCATAAATAGAAAGCAACGTGATGTTGTTGAGGTACATACACAAAGGCATATAGTTTATAATCACTGCCCTTTAATCCTGTGATTATACTCTGAATATGAGGTCTCATATCACAGGAGAACCTTGTGAGGATAACAGGAAAGAAATGAGGGACTATAACAGTATTGCAATACAATACAAATACAGTATTCTTTTAAATAGGCAGGCAAAGATTTTCCATTTTGTTGCATGTTCTGAACTCAAAACCACTAATATTGTATAGGAAAAACAATCTGTAATTATCTTAATAATAATAATAATCCTTGCATTTGAGATAGCCCCTGATCACGTCTTCGAGTCGTCTCAAAGTACTTCTCAGAAGATACTATAAAGTGAGTTGACTGTGTATTTTGGGGGCAGAATTCTTGGGCCACCTTCCATCAAAATCTTGTTTTTAAAAGTACAAGCTTATTTAAAATGCATAGAATTATCAGTACCATAACCAGAGAACTACCTCCAATGGGCAGAAAGTAATGTCGGACTACTTACAGTGAATCACTACTCCCTCAGCATTATCACTAAGCTGACCATAAATAGAAAAGCACTGACCCACATGTAGTATATTCATCAGGCCTATCAGTTTTAGTCAGTTACTACTCAAGTTAGCACAGCCTGAATTTGAAAAAACAAATGCTGGAAATCCACAGCAGGTCAATCAGCGTCTGAAAGAACAATAGGTGACTGTCTCAGGTATGGTATCATTATTTTTCTAACACTAATAACTTTAACTTTTTATTGCAAACGTAGGCTGAACATTTTCTTTTGAATAAGACATAATTATACGGAAGCACACCTCATCAGTTGCAATTATTTTGTGCCTATCGAGGACAATAGGTTTTAGGAATATCTTACAGGAGTTCAACACAGCCAAAACTAGTTCAGATATCACAAGGTATGAGTTCAGTTGTTGGTACAAAATCAGTCATTTATACCAACGGTCAAACTAGTTTCAATCTGTCCTCTTTATATTTAGAAACAAAGGTAATTAGCCGTGATGTTTTACTGCACTTTATGAACAGTCATACACCTGAGGTGTGAAACTTCTCAGGTCACTAAGTAGCTACTTTGACGACACGAGCCTGGAATTTGGAAACCCCATCATAATCTCACTGCGACAGACATGCCACATTTGGAAGCAAGATGGATTTTTTTGCCGCTGGTGTGCTAGACAGCTGTTACTTATTTAAGTCTGAATTCCACTGTGGTACATCCAAACAGAAATGCGTGAAGGGAAACCTGACACAGCACTGCCGATCCAAATCTGAAGCCCACCCCCCCACAAATATTTTTTTTGGTTTTAACCAGTCTCAAGATCGTTATCTTAAAATTTTAGATTACAGGAAAATTTTCCAAATTTCTGATATCCGAACAGATTTCCTTCAGTGATTCATTTTGAATCCAGCAAGAATGTGGCTTCTAAATTAAGACGACCATTTAAGAATTCTTGCAAACTTCTGCCCCATCTTAAAATTTAAGTTGATGGTCTTATGGCTGATGCTGTGATAAACTGCTGGCCTCATGACCTACCAACCAGGTTTAAACCAGCGATCAGCAAACTGCACTTAATCTTATTCCACTTGATTCCATGCGCAACAAGTAATTTACATTTTATACTGAATTCAAGGTTGGAATTTGAACATCTCCCGAATGTTTATTTTTAAAATATGAAGTATCTTACTTTGAATTGTCACATAGCTGCGGTTTAAGAAAAGGAAAAATTCCAAAGGGCCAATTAGTCCTTGTTATTTTTTGGCAAAATCCATATTGTCATTTTTGGGTTGAATTCAAATGCCTTTTCCCCCCAAAAATTTCCCTGGTTATTTATCTAGAAAATTTCTCGCTATCATTTTCCACAAGGGGATAGACCTCTGGTTGCCCCCAGATGTCATTACCAGTGAATAGCCTGCAATGTTGGCACTCAGGAAGATCAGCTTTTTTTGTAGCTTTATTTAGTAGGCATATGGGGAAACCAGCCAAGTTTACATTGCAATGATGTGATGTAAATTCAATTGTTGGTGTACCTCAATCAAACCAGACACATTCAGGCTGCATTGTTTTCTGGCCCATTTCATCTAAACCCCAACCCCAAACCCTATAGTCCACTCCACCACAGTGTTTAACCTTGTTCTGTGCAGGTATCCATCTGAAATACCGGCAACATTTCCTTAGAGAATATTTTGATTACCACCACCGAGTGCTTGATGGTTGAACTGTAACATTGATTTAATGCAGTACTGTACGCAAGATGAATTTAAAAATGCCAATTTGAATTCAGAACTCATCGCTGAGGCACAAGAGTTTCACACACACATATACACATCCTGCAGCGTCACTGATCTTTTTTTCCCCAACGTTGTGACAATGTGATATATTGCCTTACCAAATCAGTCTCTTAGACTTTCAAATACAGCGCATAATCAAACCACATATTATTTTACTTTCATAATAAAAAATGACAAATGGATGCATTATTCCTATAAAATTCGAAAATGATGTACTCAATGTAATGAAATCCTTAAAATTCTATTAAATAATTCTATACATGAATCATGAATTGTATTGTTGTTAATGTATTTTCAGTTGAAATTCAACTTTTTTAATTTCCTGTTCCTGACACTCCTAACCCTGCAACAAATATTGTGCTGAACTCATAAAAACTGAAACCTGAAGATAAATTCATGCCTTTTCGGGGCTTCATCCATGTTTGACACTATAACCATAAATTGACAGAAGATGTGCTATTCTAGCATATGATCTACAGTTTTGGGAGTGAATACTACCCCTCCCTTGACTTCAGCGTAAAGATTTGTTCCTCCCTTGCATTCCTGAGCACAGAAAACTATGTGGCTAGAATTATTTATGCAATTCTGCCCTAAATCGGATCCAGTCTTGCATTAATAAGCTAATAAAATATATTTTGGGTAATGTAAAATGATCCTGATCCAGCAGGAATGCAGAATAATGGTGTCCAGTGCCCAGTGCATTTTTATATGCGTTTATTCAGGTCCTGTCATTATTCAGAAGGCAGGAAGAAAAGATATTTCGAAACACACTTTTACTTGTTTTCAGGAAACAACAGTTTTGATCCCAGTGTCTACAATGAAGCAAACCAAGTTAATTGGAAAACTTGGAATCCTTAGGAAATTTGGAACTGCTTGCCACCATGAGTATCTTCAGTGTTCCAGACTCCGACATTCACCTCGTGATGAAAGTGTCTCGATCCTTGACTTAATATAGTCCGAAGCCATCAAACCCAATAGATTTGGAAGACTACATTCTGTGTAAGAGTCCTACATCTGCAGAGACTCAGCTCCTTCAAGATTATGACCAGAGTTTCACCCCTCAATTGCTAACTTCACAGAATTTTTTTCTACTTGTGGCATTCACCTCCATTTGGTTGCGGTATCACAGGCAAACCCGGAGTGTATGGTTCTGATGAGGCCAGATCATGATACAATGGTTTAAGCCAGGGGAAATCTATGACTTACCAGTTAATCGCAATATCTTCAACTCCTTTGGTGCTCCCAGCGACCATTGAAGCCAAATTTATGAGACAATTTGTCTCTGGCTGTACCCTGTTTCCATGCCACCAAATGTACGACGAAGCTTTTGAATTACTCTCTATCCAGAAACTTCTCTAAATACGAATTCCTTCCAATTTAATTGAGGCAGCAGTTCTCTTGATAGCATATGAGTACTTGCGACTGGTGTTTTCTGAATCAGCAATAAAGCTCTAATTGCATTCTACTAGAGAATAACCATGGCAACAAACCCGAAAAAATGGCAAAACCAATGTGTTTCTTCATGTCAAGGGTATGCAATAGAAAGGGAAGGAAAGTGGCAGCATGTTTCAGAATTCCATTAATGTCAGTGTGCATAGCTTCTTCTCAGCATCTTTGTAGACGTTCTGTGTCTCGGTGCACTCACAAAGCAGCTGTTTGTCCAGAGAAGAATTTCACTGCAATTTACTCATGTGTCCTTGTCCCTGGGTAAAAGATACTGGAGTTTCTCAGGCTTTCCTGATACATCTTCCTTATGTGCTGGATGCAATAATAATAATAATAATCCTTGCATTTGATATAGCGCTTTTCACGTCGGGAGGACGTCCCAAAGCGCTTCACAGAACACACTGTAAAGTGAATTGACTGTATATTTGTGGGCGAACGAGGCAGCCAATTGCGCACAGCAACTGTCCCACAAACAGTCGTAGATTGAAAATGACCGATTTATTGTTGTTTTTGGTTTTTGGAGGGATTATTATGCAAGGGGGTGAAGGAGGGTGACCGAAGGCACAGTCGAAAAGGAGGGTCTCGAGACAGGTCTTGAAGGAGGCAAGGGAGGGGGCGAGGCAGAAGGACTGCAGGACGGAATGCCAGAGGGTGGGGGCAGAGTGGCAGAAGGTCACAGAATGATGAGGTGATGGTGGGGTGGACTTTCTAGAAAGATGAGATCAAATGCACCAAAGGGCCTTTTTCATCTGAACATCTCTTGTTATGTTGGAGGTGACGTATGTTTAACCTCAGCGGTGAATGATTAACAATAATGACAAACCTTATGTTAATCTGATTAATGGTGGAGTGGGGAGGTAGTTCTTTCACACCTTTTCAATTGCACTGCAGTCAAATATATTGTGGGCGAAACTGGAATACATCCATCGATCATGGTTGGACTCGTAGTTTGATTTTATCTGGTGCACAGTTCAAAAACCACTTACAAAAAGGCTTGCAAAGTTTATTCTCCTTTTAGATCTCAGTGAGGTTTGTCTTCTTAACCAATTCCGACTTCCTGCTCATTTTTCTGCAGCTACTTATTTCCTTTTCCTGTTTGGTTCTCAACCTATAGAACACGACAGTTGTGACTTTAAACTGGAGAGACGCAAATAACCACGTTATTTTTGAGTGTGATGTTGCTCAGATTTTGCTGACAGATACAGATTATACACACATATATATTTATATATACAAAACACTTTTGACAGAATTGATAATGCAAGCCGGGTAAGTAAATACAAAATAAATAGCTATTTATGTGCCTTTTATTGTTGAAATTGTTCTAAATGGTCATTGCTTTCTGTCTTTGATTCTAAAAGAATGGGTTTTTGTGCATTAACCAGCTATTTGCAGCCTGTAACGTTATTTTTTTTTCGAGGTCTCTTCTGCTGTAGGTACACTTCACCAATTTGAATACTAGCTCTGCGTTCGACTCCACTGTTTAAAAATAATTATGTCGAGACGAGGCAATTCAGAGTAACTGGTTAAAAATATAGCAAATACTTCTTTAATATTTAATGTGTGACTCTCAAACAATGAGAACACAAGCAGGGTATCAGCATTCACCATCTTACCAGGAATATTGCAACAAATGGGGGAGTGGGTTTGAATTGGATAGTGCTTTTCAAAGAGCCAGCACAGACATCATGGGTCGAATGGCCTTCTTCTGTGCTGTATAATTCTGTGATTCTATGAAATGTAAGGTAATGACCAAAAAGCAATTAAAAAGTAAGCTCAAAAAAGTTTCCTTACACAGTCAGGGGTGAGAATGTGGCATACACTTGCCATGAACCGTAGCTGAGAGAGAGTCAATATATTCTTTTGAAAGAGAATTGGGTAATCATACATTTTCAAAATATTGGGGAGCGAGCAGGAGAGTGGTAATACATTGGCTTATGTGGTGAAAAGTACCAATAGTCTTGATGGGTTGAATGGTCTGTTGCCTCGCTGTAACATTTTATGATTCTGTCATAGATCAGTTACTGTTTGCACATTTGTGAATAATAACATTTAGGACATTATGTGTTTATCTTTTCTGCAGTAGTAATTTAACATTCCTTGGTTGGAGTTCCTTTGGGTAGTCCGTACTTTCGCCAGTGCTGGGATATAATAATAATCCTTACATTTGGTATAGTACCTTTCAGGAAGGACCTCTCAATGTACTTCATAGAATTTTCTGGAAAGTGTAATGACTGTGTATATTGTAGATGATGTATGACATAATGTGGAAGAGTTTGTCGTGCTCAATGCATTGTAATATAATCCCATTTCCGAAGAGTCAGAGTTTATTCAGGAAAGCGAATTTTAAAAAAAGCGTACTGCTCAAACGAACAAATGTTAGCAGAGAGAGACTTTTGTGCCTGAAGGGTTAGCTCTGGCCAAAACAGAAGTAGAGTTGCCTTAGGATAAGTAATGTTACCGAGTGTTTCAATGCAGTGTTAAAAACAAGGTTATAAAAAAAATTGCTGCCCTATATTACAGCCAGGGCCTCTGGGACATCCCCATCGAGCAGCTGCACACTCTCTGCAACACAATTTGACATTTGCTGCAGAAATTTATCGCCACTCAAAATCAGCCCAAACTTTCTGAAGTCATGAAAAAGAAAAACACCTAAAATGCTAATCCGCGCTTTTTCTTCCAAATGCTTTGCATCTGCAGCATTTTGGGTTTTTTTTTTGTTAATCTCTGACATTCACAATTTTCCTGCTTTTATCTGAAAATGATTCTGAATCAAGAAATATTCAATCAAGAAAAATATATATTTTTTGTTGGCCGACCATAAAGGTTGGCCACCAGTGATCCAGAGTAATGTCACATTACTCTGTCCAATGTTAAATGGCTAGAGGCAAAGTTAAGTTAGGGTCAGAAGGTAAAGTATAATTCGGCCTGAGGAAAAATGTTCGGAACATCACAAATGAGCCTGCCACTTTCTCTAGCGGTTTGCAAAGTTTGAACATATGGGTGTAAGAAAGGCTCCAAAGCTCTCTAGTCCAGGATAGAATCAATAAAACAACAACGTAGGTGAAGTCTTGTCAGCTACTCCACAGTTTGATTAAGCCGCTGCTGGATATTCAATCTGCTTTGCTGCTTAAGGCAGTGAAGTGTGTTACTGGAGCCGGCTGTGACTCTTCAGATGTGCTCAAATATACCTTTAGGAGCGTTGTCCCCCACCCTCCTTACCTGGAGGACTGTTCGCAAGTGGCAAAGTTAACAGCAATGAGAACAACTTGCATTTATATAGCGCCCTTCTCCCCGGACGGCATCCCAGAGCCCTTAATGGGGTTCAGTCGCACTTTTGGCAGCAGTGGAAAAATAAATATCCAACGCTAGAGAGCAAGCCAGCTAGAGAAGTCAGTCTTGAGGAAAACGTGAACACTCCAGCATGTTGTGAAAGCAGCCCTTTGTGATCTAAGAGTAAACGTTTTGAAACGATTCGGGTCGGCCACTTTCAAAAGCTTGGTAGTAAGTGGCATATCAGAGGCCGTTCAAGAATCTGTCAAAAGCACAAACTCACATGTGCTGTGGAGTTACATTCATTTCTTTTCCTTATTTCTCTCAAGTCAGGCCCTGGATCAGTCGTTGAAGAAATCAACCTCTCCCTTTGTCCCTTTAGTTCGGTGCTTGTCCACTGCTTGCAGAGCAGAAAATGTGCACCGTCTTATCCCTAGGAGAATTGCCTTACAATTTTAAATGGTGGAGAGTTTTGGAAAAATCTTAAATTGAGTCCTGATTATGGAAGCCAGCTTTCCACACTGCTTTTATAACAACAGAGGAAATTTAGCTTCCAAATTAAGAATTTCGAACATTTCACACAATCGTGAGTTTTAAGACAGTGGTATGACTAGCACTTTCTGGCCTCTGGTTCAGACAGCTTTTATTAATGCAAGAACGTAGCCTGGGATTTTTTTTGGGGGGAGGATTATGCAAATTATGTAGAGTTGCTGGCTATATCTGTGTTCTAATCGGTTCTTAATCACAGCACTGCTATGGGCAATGACTTTCGTCCATTGAAAGCATACACACTACTTACTCAATGCAAACAAATGTTTGAAATAAATCTTGAACTCTTGCCAGGAAAATAATTTTGGCCAATTTACACCAAGCAAAGTACATTTTCGAGTATTGTCAATGTCAGAGAAAACTTCAATCGGACTCTGTGGATGGTTCAGCCAAGGTCTCGTGCCTTAAGGGTTAAAGAAACTTCTTGTATATTAAGCAAATAAATATCCTCAGTGATGGTGAGAATTTTACAGACCAAGTTGTGGCATCTGACCAATATCAACATTTTAAAATGGGTTATTTTGTGGTTAGATTGAATAATCTTCATCGGGTATTTAGTTTGTGGGTCAGTGCACATTATTCAGTATGACTCATTAGCACAACATTCTTTCTTGTCAGAAGAGTATGATTTAAAAAGTATCTGTTTGTAACTTCAGTGAATGTCAGGCACTTTGTGCTCATTATTCACAGACTCCGATTACAAGAAGAGACTGTCCTATTTTCAATATGAATAGGTCGAGCAATAATAGAAAACAAATACTGCAGTTACTGCCTCCTATCTGTTATTAAGAATCTTACAACAGGCAATATTGTAGTTAATGTTTTTTGGGAAGACTTGTACTGTATTTCAACATAGTCAATTACTATTGATTGCTTTTGCTATTGGAAGAAGAAAAGACTATTATTACAGATTGCATTATTAATTATTATTATATATTATGTTATTACAACAACAAATTACATTTGTATAGTGCCTTTCAGCAGAAGGTTCATGCAGGATGGAGCATAGATGAACTCACAGCACAGACAACAGTTTTGCAACATTTTAATGGTGCCCTATAGGACGTTCGGTATTTTATTACCATACAAGTGAGAAGCACATTAATTGTGTCATTCTGCTTTCATGCACAAAGAGCAAGTACAGTACTTCATTGCTTTAATGGATGGCATCTTGTTGTCTTTCCAGCCGTACATTATTTCCCTTGCTTACAAAGGTCACCTCTATCACTCTGTGACAGACTTACAGTTTAACAAACACCGATAGTAAAGCAGCATTTCCATGTTCGTTTCAACATAAATACTGGATAGTTTTTAAATATTTTCTCGATCAGTCATCATTTAACTTAATTTAAAAATCTGAGTGATCTCTGATCACTTGCGTTTGTGCAGACAATAAATATTGGCTGCATAAATGATTTTTGAAAAGCAACACACATCAATATAAGTTATACATTAGAAGGCAGTAATCTTTTTGTTAAGGCAGATTGTCTCCGGAGAAACAAACCCTTTTTTTCAAACAAATATTTTACTTTGCAAGCTATGAAGAAAATTAACTAAAAGTTGTGCAATTAATAAACATACTTATCCAGGGCTTGGAGAAAGTAAGTGAGACCACTTTTAATTATACCCCATAAAAAGCACAGGGTTTATATTGCTTTAGATTTCTTCTGGCAAAGCCATAGTTTGCTAAATATAGCCGCGAGCTTAGCTTTATGTGCCCACTGAATGTTGCAGTATATTTAACCTATTTTCCTAACCATTGCGATTGTTTTTGTGTTGTGTATGAAAAAGCCTACTAAGGAAATAAATCAGTGTAGGAAAATGTTATCCTGTGGAAATTCCAGGTGTCTCATATGAAGTTCTGAGTAAGATTCAGATAATAATGTGTTTCTTCTGTTTCTCTGCAGGTCTCAAAAGTATTGCAATAAGTTTCGATTTAATTGCTGGAGTTAACTGCTGTGCAGAATCCAACCACAGTGCTGTGGTTTAGCTTTTGTTTATGGTGATGCTTGTTTTAGAGACCACGAGTAACGTATATTTCAACACGTTTACACACATCTGCTCACACCAGGCCAGGACGAGGGTTGCAATATTGATGCACAACAAGCCTTTGTAAAACTCCAAAAGGATTCAATTGCATAATTGTTATTAATCCTGCTAATAGATGTCACACGACAGTCCTCTAACAGCCAATTCATTACCTTGGGAATTTAGACTGGATGTCAAAGTGAGTTGGCATATTGTCCTGTCACTTCTGAAAACTGTGTTTGAATCTTGTCCAGGATGATGACAATTCTCTTGTTCTCTTTTGCCTGTAAAAAATCCATGTGAAGTAAAATTTGAGCACCCGAGCCTGAGGTGTCTAGTGAGCATGAAACCCACAGCATGAATTGTCAGTCATATTTGCAGAAAGGTGTAGGAGGTGGAAAATTTCACACAAATGGTAT